AAGTTTCAAAATAAAAAAACCCATCTAAACAAAGCGTCGGACTTAAAATAACGACATGCAGACAACTCAGAAGGTCTTAATCACCAAAAGGTTGGACCTAAAGTTACAAGAGCCTACGAAGATCTTACCAGCTTGAGAGATTTTTGAAAAGTACATGAGTTTACGGTAAGTTATCTAATCAATTTTTGTACAAATTCTACTTAATATGTTGAAAAATGTTTGATTTATTTGTTTTTGTTTCTTTTTAATTTGCTTTTTGTAGATTTAAAAAAAATGTTTTGTAGCCCCAACAATGGAAAATGTGATGCATTGTATCTTAGACAAAAAAAATCGCCTAGGGAGAATGTATGGTACGACAGCATCCCGGTAGGCGTAATATTCCTACAACAGACTGTGACCAGAATGTTCAAAGAAGCAGGTTTTGATGGGTATTGCTGCCACACGCCTATATGCTGCCGGTGTTGACGAACAACTTACAGTGGAAAAAAACTGAACACTGGTCTTCCGCGATTCGTGAATACAAGCGTACATCTGAGGAACAATTACCGGTTGTAAGTGATTTAATTCAGAAATCGTCTACAACGTCTACATCAGAGCCAAGGAAAGTGAAGTGTAATGAAAGTGTTTCTTTTGGATCGGTCAAAAAAATAAAAATCATTGCTAGGGATGTAACAGTGAGCTTGCGACTCAAGTGTCTTTAAATTGATCGATAGTGGCATGGATTTATAACTATCTATATGATTTCGAAAGAGATGTGTACTCATGAAGGACCAAATATGTAATTTTTTCTGGAGTGTTTCAAATATTGAAAATTAGAAAAAATAAATATGTAATATTATTTTCAAACAATTTAGTTTTTGGGGGTTTTTTTTCTCTGGCTCTTACTTTCAGTCCAATATTACTTTTAATATTGGTCTCTTCTCAACAAAATTGGACTATTTGCAGTACATTCTAAAAAATTAAGTACTTAATTCAAGACAATTCAATGACGCCACAGCAATGTTTTAAATATAAATAGGGTTCATTTGTATAGTTATTCAATGTTTGTCAATGAATTTAAAAAAGAAACAAGAAACAAACCAAATTTTGAAATGATGCAGACAATGACCTTTTTTAAAATTGACCTAAGTCGATAAAAAATGGGTAGCAAGTGTTCTTTCGCCAGGCGCTCGGCACTTTGAAGTGAAAGTTGCGGGTCCTTCGGATGAGACCTTAAAAACCTAGGCCCCGTGTCACGGCCGGCGTTGACACGATTAAAGATCCCTCACTGCTCAATGGCCTTGAGTGCCGAGTAAAGGTCAAAATTTGAAGCCCTTTACCGGTATATGGTGACGTCTCTATATGAGTGAAAAATTCTCGAATGGGACGTAAAACAATATACAATCAATCAATCAATCATAAATATATTTGTGTGTACCAATGTGCAATCTAAACTATCTAAAATATATCCGTTTTAAAAGAGCAATGTTTTAAATAAAATATAAGACTCAGACGAACCTCATCCTGTCCAAATTCTGATATAGTAGATGATCTTGTATATCTACACAATATTACAATGCCTTGTGTAAGAAGGTGGTACTGTGCCCCCAAAATTGAAAATTGGTATATGATATTTAAAATATTATCTATTATGTATTAAATAAAGGAAGCTGATTCACTTATAGAACCTTACCGTATGTCACTCCTGAAAGGATTATTGAGAAGTATATTTTAGATAACTACTCATATAGCAGGACTCAAAAAGGTAAAGAAAGTTGGGGTTCAGTGTGCATCTTACTAGGCAACGGTATAATCAAGTTGACTTTTTTTGCACTTAAATTGTAACACTTAGGTTAATCACTTTCAACTTTATTTTACAAGATGTAATCATGGCAATAAATATGATCAGATTTTATGTAAAATACTTTTAATAATAGTTTTTTTTGCAACAAAAATCCTGCAATTTAACACGCGTAAATTATTGCCTGATCTTTTTGCATTAAAATATTATCATATTTTGGGTATAACTCAAACTCGTTCATGGTAAATTAATTGACGAAATACATTAACCATGCCTTAGATTTCTTTCCTTTTTTTACTATCAAAAATTAATCGTATCTCATATCTGCACAACACAACTTAGAATAACCTAAAAGAAAGAAAGAGAGATAATCGTGGTATCATATTAGTAGAAGGTTGAAATCTTGTGCTCATAATTAAGATTGATAATACATGTATCTCTCTGGAGAAATCCAAAACCTAAGGAAGGAAAACAAAACGGAACTAGAATATAAATTTGATTCTGAATTTAGCCCATGTATATCCTTTGGGGACAAGATAGCGCAATGCACAGCTTCCGTGAAGCATTGTCAAATATCTATATAAGTTGGAAAATCGATCAAAAATCCATCAATAGTCACGAGCCGGAAATCAACAAAAAACAACTATCCATGGAGTTTGGCCTACTTTTGAAAAACTTTAACCTTGGCCATAACTTTTGAATAATTGGAGCTAGGTCTTTCATATTTCACATGTATATTCCTTGTAACAAGACCTTCCCTTGGGCACCATTTATTTTCACCCTTTGCCTTGGCTTTGGAGTTTGACCTACTTTAGCAAAACTCTAACCTTAGCCATTACTTTTGAACAGTTGGTGCTAGGGCTTTCATATTTCACAATTTTTTAAGGGGGGGGGGGGTGACAAGACATTTCTTTTGGTACCAACATTTTTTATCTCGTTATATATAATTATCCCTTCCTTGGAGTTTTTTCGCATTTGAGAAACTTTAGCCTTATCCATGGACCGCCATACTGGGGCATCACTGTTTCACAAACACATCTTGTTTTTTTTCAGGATTGTGCTTTGATGATTTTGCAAGGTAAAAAAAATCATTGAATTTAAAAAGTCATTTTAATGCAAATGATAGAGAATGACTAAAGAGTAGATGCATCACTGTTAAGGCGAACTATAAAGAAATCAACGGAATATAGACGTTAACAAATAAATACCTTTTTAACTTAATTTATTTTTGTAAAACTATTATATTATCACATGGCTTACACAGTATACCAAACTCTATATTGGTTTTTGTTTTGGTCACCTTATTTGACAGTCACATGATAAATGCATATAATGTGTACTGCTGCATAGAGGTCATATACAAAATTCAATATCGCAATGACATATCCTAAATCAAATTATAAATTTGAATTTTGTGCCGATCGACTTTTGTATTTACAAATTAAATATTTTGCATGTGATGACATTTATATTTTATTTTGATAAAAGTTTAAGCAACTAAGGTCATGCAAATTGCCAAGGGATATAATTAAGGATGTAAGAGGCGTCTACTTTTGTCTACAAAAATTGCATCTTATTGAAACGGTTTTTCTTCTTTCAACTTTGCATTTAAAATATTTTATTTGCAATTAATCTAAGTTAAAGAGTTAGCCATGAAAAAAATGTTATAAATTTTTAATTCTATATATAGGCAATATATAAACAAGTATCGTGTTTCTAAGTAATAACGATGTAGAACACAACAGCGTATTTCAAGACTACACCAGCTTTTTATATGCTTTGCGATCGAACCTTGCAATTGGGCTTTCTCGAAAAACATATTTCAGAATCAACATCTTGAAATCTGGCATTTGATGTTATTACCCCATTATGTACCACTATGTTTACCACTTACTTACATACACGTAACATCATGTATCACCCAAGCACATGTTACTTCTTTGATATACCGAAATGTTTTGCCAAATCTTATGCATGTTTATTAGTATGGAATGCACATCAATTTGGATACAAGCATCTAATCATTGGTATAAGTTGGATTACCACATGTAGAATTAAATCCAAGTCCCTCTAAAATACAATTAAAATAATGAGCATTACAAACAAAGACAATGTTCTTACTTGCTTTGTCAGCTGGAACCAGTACATACTGATCGTGTAATCTATCTAATTTTCATTTCTGAATTATTGAACACAGAAGTAAAGATGATTTTCATATTGCCCCTCGATCGCTTATAATTAATGCGAGAATTTTAACATACATCTGATACATTTAATCCGTTCTGACAAAGTGTCAAGGTCTTCTTTTTCATGTCTGGCCCATCGCCTGGAGTTATCTTCCACAGAATTCATAATATTTAGGAAATTATGATGCCAGTCGAAAGATCGGGGTTCCCTAAATTTCGGTCCCTTTATAATCTGTGATTTAAGGTATTCATTATTTACTGTATTTACGTTAGCAGTAATGAGGTGTCCAGCAGGACTAAAGTTGTAGGGTGAAAAAGAACATGAACACGAGGGAGGATTATGTTTCAGATATTTGATATCCAGGTTTCGTATAGTTTTCTTGTAATTAAAAAGTTTGGAAGCAATAGTCAATGTATATATGTAGGAAATACAAGGTGTAGTCTTCAACTTGAAATATGGTGGAATACAAGACTGGACCCTATTGTGATTAAGAGTATTACTTATATTAACTGCAGTCGCCCGCGTGCCGCAGTGGTAGAGCGTCTGCTCTAGAGTCGCGGTGTAAGAAGCTGATCCTTACGTCGCGGGTTCGAATCCCATTGTGGGACTTGGAGACCGGTCCTTTGGATGAGATCGTATAACCGAAGTCTTGTGTCGCAGTAGATGCTGGAACGAAAAAGGTCCCTCACTGCTCAATGGCGTTGAGTGCCGAGTGTATGTCAAAATTTGCAGCTCTCCACCGGCAAGGGGTGGCGTCTCCATATGAGTGAAAAATTCTCGAGAGGGACGTTAAACAACAAACAAACAAACAAATATATTAATTGCGTCAATTCCTTTGTTGGCATATTGAAGTTTAAATAAAACACGGCTTGTTTTGGAGGCATTTCCTTCCATAACACGATACCAGTGTACTACAATAACTAGATTTACTGACATATAATTCGAACTCTATTCAGCATTCTGATCAAAACGTATATTATTACTTGAATTCGTTCTCATAATAACCATACATATAGCACTATATCGATATAAAATGACGAGGTATTTTTTTTTCTTCCGTATTTAAACCTAGTTCGATAATGGAGGGTTTATACATCATTCTCGTTATTTTATACAATATTGGTACTGTTGTAGACTCATACTGCACACGGTAAACTCTTTCAATTGCTGCTTGTAATTCTGATTTTTTATGGTGTTGATCTTTTTATTATGCATCAGTGGTACTAAAATTTAAATTTTTAGAAATTGCTGTCTCCCCGGCTTCTATTGGAATAAAGATTCAAAAGTCTGCACTGGTACTTTCGATTTTACTTTTTTTAATATTTCGATTTTATATTTAAAAAAATGTTTATTCTTAAAGTATTATTATCATAATAACATTTCTTTATCAGAGTGCAAAAGAGGTTTTTTCGGCCACGATTGTTCTAATCCCTGCAGATATCCGAACTATGGGAAAAGATGCCAAAAAGAATGCAACTGTACAGAAGACTTTTGTGATATAGCAGTTGGATGTCGAAGTAGGTCAGGCAGGTATTTAGAAGGTCAATTACATTTACTTGTATAATCTATAAACATTTTTGTTTATTCATTTTCGATTAAATCATAATGCTATGTAAAATGTGTATCCATTCATGATGTACATGTATTTCGATCAGAATAGCATTTTTACACTCTATAAGAGCTCTGCTTAAAAATTTTAGCAGCAGATAATATGTCTTTATTGCTTGCGAAACGTAATGTTGAGATTTAATCTCTTGATATATTTTGATAAGATGCTTTTAATATTTATCAAAATTAACCTTTGATTAATTTCTAAAAGAACAAGGGATTTTTATGGCCCTGTGAGAAATCAAAACTGCTCAGTTTCAGCTGAATATACATTAAATTTCACTTGGTGACTGCATATCTATTGGAAATGATGTAATTTTCTTGCTAGTCAATGTATTATATTATGACGTCATAATTTGCGTTATCATCCCCAAACCCTGAAAATTTCTTTAAAATGGCCAAAACCTAAGCTCTTTTTCAATATTTTACATAGGCCCAAACATCTGATCCAAAGTCTTCAAATATATAATGAAAGAATTGTCTCAGATGATTATGATCCATATTTTATTTCTATTTTTTTTCAATTCTTATTATTATTTGGGGGTAGGGATCGAGGGGTCGGCTCATATTTTATTACTTTACTAAATGAAATATGTGGAGATAACGAACAGTATTCGAGCTCAAATGTCCATTAAACATTACAAAATAGGAGCAGAGCAAGCACGGACCTCTAAGACATCAGAAGTGGGATCAGGTGCCATGGAGGAGTGAGCATCCCCTACCGACCGGTCACACCCGCCCTGTGCTCTTTATCATGATCAGGAAATAACGGAAAAATCCGTCGACAATTCAGTGTGTAAATAATGGCCTAACAATTAGTATGATAAAAGTCAGTCATTTGCTGACAAGGTCATTGAATCGACCATAGAACTTACGAAATGATGACTTGAAATGAGACTGCTAATATTCATATTTCATCAACTTGTTTGTCAATAACTTATCTCGTTGTAGAAATTGTTCATACGCAGAGCATGCTCTGGCGTATCGAATCAACTGAGAGATATAAATCCCGAATGCAGGTGATAAGGGTATATTGCTGCATAAGTTAGGGAAGTTCACGATTGAAAAGTTAAAGTCATCACGTTTATCATAAAGCTTTGTTGTTAGATTAACATTCACGTCTTTGAATGTACTCAAATACACCAATTTTCTTCAAAATTCAAGAACAAGGCAATTTCACAAAGCCTGTTTTTCAATACCTGGACTCTCTCAGAAGAAACTAATAGAAAATGAAAGCAGTAAGTCTTTGCTTTATATTGATGTTTGAAATGAGACATTTGGACTTGGTTAATTAATTGGTATATAGGTAAGGTCATTTTATGGATAAAGTGAACCTTTTTGAAAAAAGTAAAAGAATTGTTTGACATTTCTTTTACCACCAAGTTTTTCATGGGGTAGATTCTTAATACCATATTCGATATCATTCTTTATAGGTTGTAAAGTCGGCTATTATGGCAAGACCTGTTCGAATCAATGTAGATTTCCTAGCTATGGAGAAAGATGCCAATTTTTGTGTAACTGTTCCGAGACAGCTTGTAATCATATAAATGGATGTCAATCAGGTACAGGTATTTGAAAAATTCTTATTTTCAATTATGAATAAAGAATTTTCAAAAACAGGAATTGATTCTATTTTGGCGATTAAAATATCGGTTCTTTTTCAGAAATTCATTTGACATTTCTTATGACCAAAATCATTGTATGGAACAAGACAACAAGAGCGGTTAATTCTTCTCCAGAGAAATTCCAAGCTAGCATTCTCATTGGGGGATCAATTATTTTAACTCTGATATCAATATTTGTTTCGGTAATCATCGCCCAGGTAAGGAAAAATAAAAGGTCTAATCGAAGAGAGGAACTTGATTGTAATGTTGATTCTGAATTTAGCTCATGTCCTTCCCTGCAAGGTGATATAGTGGAAGGCACATGTACAACTTCCGCAAGATATTTCCAAGATTTTCATATTTACAGGGAGTCGTTAAATTGTTCCGAACTTGATATATATGAAAATACATACAAACAGGAGAATAGTCCACATACAGACTCAAAATGATCATGTTATCATAAATGAAAAAAAAAATATTGAATGTTTGTTCTTCTTTATTAATTTGTATAAGGAAAAAAATAAGACAAGACTGTGAAGCGTCCTGAATTCGCCTATTATTGTATACTAGTATTTAAATGGATAGAAATAAACTTTTTTTTCTTTCAAAATATATGGGGTAAATTTGTTACATTTTTAGATAAAAATTACGATACAGCTACAATTCCTATGTTGTAAATCGTAGAATCAATCACATCACTCATGGCGTGACTCTTTACGAAGAAGGAAAGATCTTACATCTACATTACTACATGTGTACGTGAAAAATCAATGAAAAAAATTTACAACATTTTCCACGTCAAGGCTATTCCTTTAAAAGATTTTCACTTAAGGCTAAATAGGGACAACTCTTTAGATTCAGAAAATGTGATATACCATCTCAAAAATTATGATTTATTTTCAAACCACTTAAGAAAAGTGAAACAGTCATGGGTCGAGGCCTCTGCTGGTGGACTGTTGGTTCCCGAGGGGCTCTACAACCCAGTACTTCGGTATACGTACTAGCTTGAAAATAAGGATATATGTTTAATTGCCTTGGTAAAATTTAGAAATTTATTTCAAAATTAAGGATTATCACCCTCATGCATAGCTCTGATCCTTCGACGTATTTGGCTCCAGTCTTTGACAACCCTTTGTCAGCTCTTCAATTTTTTTTTATTTAAATATTTTAGATGTCCAACGTTTCGGCATGAGCATCACTGAATAGACATAATTTGTCGAAATGCGCATCTTGTGCATCAAAATTGGTAATGTATATGATTTACTTCATGGGAGTAGAAGAAAAAAGTAAATTTTAAAAGATAAAAGTATAGTTTCTTAAGGAAGGGGATAATCAGTCACTGCAAATTAAGCAAAAATTTGAATAGAAAAGGAGTGAAATGTAACACATATGTAACTCCCATACAATGCAATAATTCATGAGCACCTTATGATTTCTTAATCAATAATTTATTGAAGTCAGCATTAGGAAAATATATGTCAATAGATCATTGAATAATTCTGCACACTAATGAAATTTCCTCTGAAATTAGATATCCAAAGAAAGATAACCGAGGAAAGGAAAATATATTTAAAGCTTTATAAATGTGGAGTTAACGGTATTTAAATACTTAACAATGAAAATATGATTTCTTATCCCTTTTAAATGATCCCCTTAGTTCATTCAAACTATACTTTACACCTCTTCTTTACCATTAAATGAGCCTATCACATTATTTTATCTTAAATGAGTCTATGGCATTTCTTTATCTTAAATGAGTCTACCATACTTTTTTATCTTAAATGAGTCTATCACAAATTCTTTTCCTGTATAAACCGCACAAAAAGATCCTTCACTACTCAATGGCCCTGAGTGCCGAGTATAGGTTTAAACTTGCAGCCCTCCACCGGCAAGTGGTGGCGTCTCCATATGAGTGAAAAATTCTCGAGAGGAGAGGGACATTAAACAAAAATCAAACAAACAAACAACAACATTATCACGAAGGTAACGGTACCAAATAGATGTAAAAAGATGAAAATAAATAAACACAATCACAATATTGTCGTCAGTGTAAATTTTTTTATAGTAATAAAAATTTAGAGTATGACTCTCTCTCTCTCTCTCTCTCTCTCTCTCTCTCTCTCTCTCTCTTCATAGCTGGAGAATTAGTAAGACTTTATTTAAGAAATAAGGTTTCATTTTTAAACTTTATTGGGATTTAAATACGAGTTGATCATGTGATCAAATCCCATAAAATATACCCAACTGTTTGTCACGCAGTTTTACTGTTAAATTTATGCAATCACGTGACGGTGTGATCCGACGTTCCGGATCACCACACTGTGGTTTTCTGAATCCATATCACCCCTCTCTGAAACTGATGACGTAGTACACAGATAAATGACGTTTTTATTCTCGCGCATCAAAAAGTTCCTTGACAAAACGGTCTGTTTAATGGATAAAAGTTATATGTAATTGATCCAAAAAGTTTCCTTTTATTATATTTTGATAGTTTTAAAGGGGTATATAATAAATTTATCATTATAACAGTAACTTGATCCGAAGAGTCGTATCACGTCGAGTTGACAGGCGCGGATCATCAGATCAAACGAGACGCTTCGCGTCTCGTTTGATCTGATGATCCGCGCCTGTCAACTCGACGTGATACGACTCTTCGGATCAAGTTACTGTTATAATAATATATATTTATAAAAGTTTTTAAACAATACCTTATTACTGATATTTACTTTTGTGGCGGATTTTGTGACTGATTTTTATCAGAAGCTGACTTAAACAGTATATGGTATAATTTGAAACTATTACATGTAGTTGGAGTTAACAATTATGAATTATTCATTCAAAAATTACACAGGTACATGTACATGTATATAACACATGTTTATTTATATTTCACCGCGTCCGTAGGAACCAGGTGAGGGAAATGGGGAGGGGGAGGGGACACGGGATGACTGTTTCTCTAAATACATACGAACATATTCTATACATTAGGAAACAAAGATAAAGAACGTCACTCTGCTGACCTTTTTTGTCTTTTTGCTTCCTAAAAAAAAAATGAATTTTCTTCCTACTGAGCTGTTCATTGAATATATTTTTATTCTTTAGATTAACATGAATTCTGATACATGTTCAATTCGAAATTGTCAGTTTTTACTAAATATGTAGCACTTAAGAAAGGAAGGTCTCGAATTATCTAGAGAACTATAGCATTAACTGTGCAAAGAAGTTTTTAATAAAAAATCAATATTGAACTATTTTTCAATTGTATATATTGAACATTTCGCATATTATCACCACGGGCAATACAAGAATTCTATATACCGGTGGAGGGACAATCTACAAATCTTAACAATAACGGAAAATATCATCAGATACGTACTTAGTGAATACCTTATCAAGCTTCAAAATTGAGAGTAACTTCAATTTTACACTACAGCTTTAGCCCTTGTATATTAATCAGACTCTCCATACCTAATAAAATTGAATGATCTAAAAATTCTCAAAAACAATAAAAATTTGTGAACAGGAACAGAACCCGGACTCCTGAAACCTCCAGAGATCGAATCAGATGCTTACGAGGGGTAAGCATTCCCTGTCGATCGGTCACACCCGCCTTTAACTATATGTATTGATCAGATACAGGGAGTAATTAATACGTATAAAACAATGGCCTAACAATGGTTATAAAAAATGTAAGCTGTAATATAATCCAATGATACTATGACAGATTGTGCTTGCAAACTATGACATTATAACACCCATATAAAATTTTTGAAATGCTTACTTTGAACGAGTTTGTTGAAATCCCTGTAACATCTACTTATTTGCCAGTACCCCTCCCCTCATATTATTTTCTTATATGATTAATGCTCTGCTTTTTTCATATCAAAACAACCTACTCAACGCGATCTAATTAAAATAAGATCTTTTTCCTCTTTGTAATTACGAGACGTACATGTATCAATATGATCTAGATTTTTGTTGTTGTGGTGGTGGTGTTTGATTTATACATGAACCAACAGTTATAATAATTAGAAAATAATTCATATTTCTGCTAATCCGTGTATTTTGATTAACATACTCGCATATTATTAAAGTCGTTCCTATGGTACCAATGTACTTGCACCTCAAAGGATTGTCTGATCTTTTAAACTGAGGTCGATCAATAGATCCCTTTCCCCTAGAATTTTCTGCATTGATAAGAACCCTCTAGTTCAGCTGGTATATTTACATGGCAGCGAATTGAAATTAAAGTATACAGGTACGAATTGATTGATTGATTGATTGTTGTTATTGTTTTACGTCCCATTCAAGACAGGTAAGAGTTGAACACTCACGCAATAAGTTACTTTGATCTTCCACATTTTTACATCCTCCAACTAATTGTACATACTGTCAAAAAACCATTTATGGTACATGTACTTATAAATCATGATTTCTTTTATGAAGCAGTAAGATGTGTAAAATTTCCCGTGTAAATTTGGAATTGCCCAAATCCTAATTATTTGGGCACGACTGGAAGATTCCTGCGGAGCTTGCAGATTGGAATAAGGAATCCACACCTTGCTATTTTTTTCAGAAGTTTTAAAAATTTGTTTTTATATAGTCCAATGTAAAAACCTTGAACCCCTACTTACTATACTCTATGAGGCAATAAGGCACTGGACGTAACTGATTTTTTTTTCACTAAATCGATGTGTTTGCTTGAAAATATAAGGTCCCCTTTTCCTTAGAAAAGAATATTTACATCTAATAAAATATTGCTTTTATATTATCTTAAGCACTTTTTACTGTCAAAATATCATCATTATTTTAAACAGATTTTTTTATTACCCGGTATACTATGCTAAAGCCTGATGCAAGATTTTGTAATTTGTAACATACGCATCAGATATTCTGTAAATTAATTTTTTCTGAGAGAAATTATTAGTTCTGTAAAGAAAAAATGAAAATATTTTTTTTATTTGTGTATAGCAATATATGTAAAATCTTTTTTTTTTTTTTTTTTTTTTTTTTTTTTTTTTTTTTTTTTTTTTTTTTTTTTTTTTTTTTTTTTGTTACTAAAATACATACTTGTCAAAATAGCCGATGTGTGAGTTAGACATCTGAATAGTTATGAAGATGACTTAAACATTACCAAAACAATTGTTATACATTTCAGAAGCTAGGACATTGTCTTTACTACAATGCATCATTTAATGACGAATTGAACAAATTCCAGTCGGGGAAAAAAGACGATAAGTTGCGTTTCCGTAATTATACGAAAAAAATTAAAAGAAGAACCATTTAAGCGTCAATGACTTGCTCTCAAAAATATTTCCTTACAATAATTTCCAGGTATCACAGAATAGAGAACCCCTCCTGGAGATGTAAATAGCATTTATATTTAATTCCTAATTCAATTCAACAATAACACATCCAAGTTACTTTATGTTCAAGGTTCCAATCAAATTGGATAGTACGGTAGAGATGGGATATACTGCTTTCAAATTTCCATGATTCATAAAATTTTGATTTTTTACATTCATTTATCACGTAGTTCAGGGAAATGGAGAATCGTTTCACATTTAAAAAAAAATGACAATGAATATATCTTATCTTTTATTCAGTACATAAAAATATGTTCTTTCAAACAATAGGTAAATCGATATATAAAATGAAAAAAAAAAAGTTAAATGTGTATTAATATCATGAGAATCCTTGGTTAAGTTGCAGTTTTTGTCTCACGCACAACTCAGTTCAGATTCCAACATGCCTTCTGAAACTAAGTTAAGAAAAACTTTTACTTTATTTCTTTCATTCTAATGCGTTTTCGCAACCAATAGATGTACTAAACCGAACGATAATACGGAGATTGGAAAAAGATTACCTGTTTCTCCTTTCGCAGTGCTTAATGACATAGGGTTCCAGATGTGTTTTAGAAAATGTGAGGCCTTTGCCATGTGTCTGTCAATTAATTTCAGCCCCAAGATGTTACTGTGTGAATTGAACAGTCAGAAAAAAAAAGTGGAGTTTATCTTTAGTTGATGACGGCAATTTTATATACAAAGAAATACCGAATATTTTAAGTATTTAAGATGTCTTTTCAACTTTAATATATTGATAAAATGTGTAATTTGTATCTCTACTTCACATAGCAACACCTTATTAAGTGAATATAAATGCATGTTGCACTTACTTTTTACAAAAGGAAAATAATTTATAATCTAGTAAATATCTACTAAAAGCTCTTGAAAAAAAACTATATAGTTATTTCTAGGAGATAATGAATCGTTTAAGGTATTCGTAAATTAGTGGTTATCGTGGTATTTGTATGCGAAACTTACTAAGGAAAAAAAACTATGAAGAAATTAAATTAAATCTTTAAAATATAATATCCACACGAGGATTGAAGCGTCATTTTATTTTCAATCACTTATATTCATATCTTAGGCGCTTAGTCTGTTCGAAAACTGCAATTTTCAAATACTTCTAAATCTTACAATAAAAACTTTAATAATATTTATGATAAATAAAGACATATCAGTTGTCATTTTTAAATACATGATTTTTCTTTAATAGGACTGCTAGTGTGCTGAAATAAATTAAATTCCTTATTACAATTTGCAGAAATTTGATATAACGAATTGAACAAAGTTATAACAGATTACATTCGTTTAAATAAAATCGAAAAATTGTTTTTAATGAACTAAATTCGTTTTAAGACTGGACAATTCGTTATATCGAATTCCAGTTTGTTTGTTTTTTTTAAACAGGTCCTGAATTGGCTTCCGTACATAGACAATAATATAACAATATAAACTTCGTGTTTATTCCATGCGTGTGTTGACAATATTTATAAATGCAATGCAATTTTGAAACTCATTTTCACTTAATTAAACATTACCTTCAATTAGCAGAAATATTACCGTAAATCATTTTTATTGACTTTTTAGTTCACCTGAAGTGATAGCTTAAGTGAGCTTTTCTGATCACATTTTGTCTGTCGTTCGTCTGTCCGTCTGTCTCTAAACTTTTCACATTTTCGACTTCTTCTCCAGAACCACTGGGCCAATTTCAACCTACCTTACCACTAAGAATCCTTGGGTAAAGGGGATTCAAGTTTGTTCAAATGAAGGGCCACGCCCTCTTTCAAAGCGGATAATTTACAATTAGTAAATATTCGGTGGCATCATCTAACAATCTTATTCTAAAAAACAATTGGACTCAAAAAAATTGAAACTTTTGTGATACCTTCATTACATAGTATTGATTCAAATTTGTTCAAATCAGAACTCCGGGGGTACAATATAGGTGGGGCCACAATGGGGGATCAAAGTTTTACATAGGAATATATAGAAAAAAATTCTTCTCAAGAACATTAGATCTATGATAAGTCATATTGATATGGAAGCATCCTCAGGTAGTGAAAATTCAAGTTTGTTAAGATCATGATGGCCCCCCGGGGGGGTAGGAGGGACAATTTGGGATCAAACTTTTACATAGGGATCTATGAGGGAAAATATTTAAAACTCTTCTTCTCGAGAACAGCAAAGCCAGAATTAGTTATATTGACAAGGAAGCATCCTCAGGTAATGTAGACTTAAGTTTGCTGAAATCTTGACCCCTCGAGGGTAGGGTGGGGCCACAATGAGAGATCAATGTTTTACACAGGAATATAAAGGGAAAATCTTTTAAAATTATCGTCTCAAAAACAGCAAAGGCATGATTAGCCATATTGATATGGAAACATTCTCAGGTATTGTAGATTCAAATTTGTTCGGATCATGCCTCCCGGGGGTAGGTGGGGCCACAATGGGGTATCAACGTTTTACATAGGAATAAATATGAAAAATCTGCTGATAAAAAAGAACAGGGCCATATTGGCTCAGGTGAACGTGGTTGCCCATTGGCCTCTTTTTAAATGTTTATTTGAATGTGTTGCTGTTTAGATTGATTACAGGGATAAGACATGTGGAAAAATCTCATGCAATTACAAATCCAAATGTATCCGCACAAAGATGGACACATATGTCTGCATTAAAGTAACAGGTATGTGTATTGAAAAGAATAGCTATTATATCCAGCTGCTTGAGCTTAATCATGATATATACATTTAAAGATGAAAATACTATCTGAATTATCTACTACATATTATATCCGTATAAATACGTACAATTGTACTGGTATGTTTTATTTCCTACAAAAGTAAACTTTAAAGTAACATAGACGTCTCGAAATTGTAATTACATATTAAGCCGAATAAATTTTCTAGAATCTCAATACATTATTTAATGGAAAGTTTACAATCATTTTTCAAACAAGTCCTTCCAGATGAAAAATAATGTAATTTCATTTATGTAAAAGGTACATTTTCCTTTAAAAAATAGTCAAAACAAGTCAAACTGAATAAAGCAGTATATTTTGGTTTGGGAGAGAGATGTCATACACTGTACCACTTAACCGTAGAAAATACAGAGGGGTATATGAGAGGACTTAAGTCATATTGCATGTATCATATGAATTCCAGCCAAGAGGGTAAAGTGCTGGAGCGAATGACATGGTGACAAACCTAACTCTAATTTGATACTCCGAAATAACAATTG